CCAGCGGAGGCAGGAACCGGATGTGTGTGTGTGTGTGTGCTGTCTCTTATACACATCTAGATGTGTATAAGAGACAGCCTAGGACCTACCTGGCAGTGTTTGCCAAAAAAAAAAAAAAAAAAAAAACCAAAAAAAAAAAAAAAAAAAAAAAAAAAAAAAAAAAAAAAAAAAAAAAAAAAAGACAGAACAGATACTCCACTTGATCTTAGGGCTTCACTAGACACTCCTCAGCGCGTCCTCGGGCACCAAGGACGAATCCTCGAAAAATTCTTTGGTTTTTGAAAGCGTCTTTCCACCTGTCCTCGGAGAATCGCTCTGAGGACGAATCCTCGGGGCCCTCCCGCGGCCCATTTCATGAGATTATACACGGCCGCGGGGGGGTTGTCCGACCTCCGATTCAGGATGTCCGGCGAGGAGTCGTCGTGGTCCAGCAGGCGTACGGCGGCATCCCGTCATGGGCCCTGGAAATGAAAGTCGCGAACGCGGGAAACGCCCCGTTTGAAATCCGAAATTCTAAATCGCGGGCTGCGGGATGACGGGGAGGCAGTGCACAGACGGGTCCTGGACGGTGCAGTGCATGCCACGCAGGCTCCGCGACTGGTTCCAGATGCCCCTTGCGTACTTCAGTGCGACACACGGCCACAGTCTGTGATGTCGTCGACTCGGCAAACTGGAGAGGGTCAATCCTCGCGGCACGTGTCCACGCGTGGTGGTTCTGCACTTCGGCGGCGGCGGACGGACACTTCCATCGGGGAGAACATCGCTCAGCGGGGGTGGCGGAGCGCGAATTGCAGGCGTGTCAGCATTGTGGTCGCGTAGATGGTGGCAAGAGGTGGCGGGCATTCATTTTCCAGTACGAAGGGCCCGATGGAGGGTGGCGGCGATCTTCGTCGTGCCATGTTGTTGATGACGGAGAAGACAGAGGTCGCGGCGGCTGCGCTCGCCATGGTGATCCGCAGCCAAGTCGAGAGGGTGGCAGGGCGCATGAAGGTGGCGCTTTCATGGCGATGGCAAAGGCTTCTGGTGCAGAGGGTGGTAGACGCCCTAGTGTGGTGTGCTTCCTCGGGCGACGCCACATTGGTGGATGAAGCGGAGAACAGGAGGCACTTGGGATGATTTGCGGATGTGCAATGACACGGCTGACGACTACTTTCGGGAAAAGCTCTGCATGTCCAAGCGAGTTTTCATGGAGATCAGCGAAGCCCGTGCTCCACATCTACAACGACCGGTCACGTTCTACAGGGAGCAGCTGCAGACGGAGGAGATCGTCGCGTACGCGTTGTACAGGTGGGCTACCAGGGAGAGACATACGACACAGCACGTCGTCTTTCGGCATAGGGCGAGGTTCTTGACTTCTCGCCGTGCACGATGTCACATCTGCGCTGTTGAGGGTCTACGCAGACAAGATTTCCTGGTCTACGGGGGTGAGGAAACACGTCGTGCTCCAGGCGTTTTTGGAGAAGGGCTTTCCCAACTATCACGACACCGTCGACTGCATACACATCTACTTTGACAGACCGCCGAATGCCCCCAGCGAGAACTACTTCGACCACAAACACCGTTTCTCCGTCGTTGCGCAGGTCGTGGTCGACCTGGATCTGCGCGTTCTGGATGTGTTCGTTGGGTATCCCGGGAGCTGCCATGACATAAGGGTGATCCAACTGTCTAGTCTGTCGCGGCGCGCGAAACTTGAAGAGGGAACGTTGTTTCGTGGGCCGCCTGTCACTCTGTCGGGCGGGGTGAGGACAAACGGATACATCTTGGGTGACAACGGGTACCCTCCTTCTGAATGGGTACTGGTGCCATACGGCGGAATCAATCAGAATCCCCGACGAAGAAAGGTTCGACACGAAGCATTATGTCGCAAGATGGGTTGTCGAGAGGGCGTTCAGGCGGTTGAAGGGGATGTGGAGGCTCTTCCTGCAAACGCACAAGACCAACCTATACACTTTGTCGTAGCAGTTCATGGTCGTCTGCATTCTACACAACATTCTCTTGGATGCTGGTATCGAGTTCGACGAGAATCTGCTATGGGAGGTCGACGATAACGGGGTGCGGCGCCGAGTGGATCTAGGGATTCATCTTCCCCCACAACCAGTCAGCAATTCCACTTCCATGACCGAGGCGATTGCACTCCGGAACGCTCTAGAAGAGCAAATGAAGCACATGTAATCCGTGATACGACCTGTTTGTTTCTCACGATGAAAGTACCATGTTCATGTCCTATCCCACCGTTGTCGATCCAGAGCACTCGCTTCGTTGGCTTTCACACGTGGATGGTATTATGTCGTCCATCACCGTGTGTTGGACATTTTTTTCGTCGAGGACAGCTTGTTTGACCATCCTCGTAAGGACGACGGTAGTGGTGGATGCTTGTAGTGACAAGGACTTTCGTTGTTCCTCGTGTTGTAGTCGCGTCTTTTCTTTCCTGGTTTCACCATACCTCTCTTTTCTCCGTGTTTCCGGCGATTGCGGGGCTCGGGGTGGGGGAGTGGAGGCGGTGTTGTGGCGGGTGGCGGTGGTTAGGGTGGTGCGCAAGTCTGCCACGTTAGGTGGGGGAGGTACGCGGGCGGGAGCCCGGTGCGATGTTTATGTTCACGTGCTTCTCCATGTTTGCATGTGCTTAAAAAATTTTGGTTGCTCTGCACGAGCGCTTCTCGAAGCGCCGAATCCCTTTCTCAAGTACAGGAATGTGTTTTTCTTTTGGACTTGTGTGTGAGGTCGTCGTCTTGCGTCTGGCTGTGTCCTTTTTAACGACGGGTTTGTTTTATTGTCTCGTGTATGAAACTTCTGACATCTACCTCGTCTGCGCTTGTTTGCATTTCCAAATATAGATTATCATTGCATTGTTGTTCCACACGCGGCTTGCATGCAAAAAAAAAAAAAAAAAAAAAGTTCATCTCATGACATTTCGGTCCTTTTAGCAACAGCATCGCTATCGCACTTTTTGTTATGTTTGTTTTTTTTTCTGTGTATTTTTCATTTTCATTTATTCTTTTTGGGGTTATGTTTTGTCAGGCGGTGGCAATGTTAATGCATCCACGATTTGGGACACAACGTGATGGACACCATACGTGAGAATATGTGCACGACATTGAGATCAACAGAAAAATTCCCACGAGAAATGAAAGTTGAAAAAATATTCCATAAAAAAAAATCCTTCATATTTATAAATTATCATTCCAATGTTTGTCAAATTCTAAACTTTCCAATTTTATTTGATAAGTTTTCGTCTAAATATGAGTTTTCCCTTCCAACGACATCTATTTGTTCAAGATGGAATGAAAGTCTGGACGAGTTTATGAAATGTTTTAATTAAAATTTCATTCTACTACAACAAATATCTTCTAATTTAGATTGGATTAACCTATTTATGATTGAAAATCCTTATCTAGAATGACAGTCCAATTAAAATATTTCATGAACTCATCCAGACTTCCATTACATCTCTAGCATGCAATTCAAATAAGAAGGGATACCCCATTCTTGGAAGAAAAGTTCTCAAGTAAGACGAAAAATTTTAAAATTGGAATGACATTTTTAAAGATGGAATGAGAATTTAAAATTTAAAACGTACTATTACTATAAAATGAATATTTAATTCTGGGAAATTTTTCTGTTGATGGCCTATCATCCGTAGTCGGCACGAGAATCCCACATAGAAGATAATAAAAGCACTAATACGTGAACAACTATTGCCACACAAATCGAAGTCCTCAACACACACATTCCTTAATGAAATCCATATATTCGCATTGCATACTCAAAAAAGTAAAACTGAGTTTTTCATGCTACTCAGCCTTCCGCGGCGCACAACTATGATCCTCTCTCTCTCTCTCTCTCTATTTGACGATATATATATATATATATATATATATATATATATATATATTATTGTAGATTTATTCACGTACTTCAATGTATCTGTTTTTATTCGTTTTAAATAGGTATGTGAAGAAACTTTAGGATGATTTTATTCTTGTTTATATATATATATATATATATATATATATATGACGATATATATATATATATATATATATATCTGTGTGTGTGTGTGCATGCGGACGTGGGGTACACTGCGATCGCAAACGGTTTTGTGGTGCGCATGCACCTCCCCCGCGCTCCGAACTTGACAACAAATATAAAAAAAGTAAACTAAACAAGGCTACTGCGTTGCGCTGTGTCTGCGTGACGACCCCATTCGCAAGGTCACTATCAGTCGAAGCATCTGCCGAACCATATGCACGGCTTGCCCTGCCAAACCGCCGACATCGCTACACGCCCTGCGCACGTGTCAGTGGGTGCGCATGCAGAGAACCATCTAAGCGGCACATTTTACAACCCGTGCACGTGGATAGTGACACTGTCACTAATCAAAACCAACACACACTCGTCCGCAACACCTGCGTACGCCCTGCCACCTCGTTTGGAGATCAAAATGCCACCCCATGGAGGACGACCACCCCGGCTGATTGACCTTCCAAATAAACACACGTGTCACTTGCCGTCACCGCCATCTTCATCCGCTGGAGGACCGTTGTCTATCCAGTCGTGTTTTGCAGCTTCAGCTCCATTCTTCAGAGTGGCGTTGTGATCGCACACCAACCTGCAGTCAACCCATTTTGGGATGCAATGTGGGTACTCTCCCAGCGTGAGGTGGGGTGTCCCGAGGTGATCCAACACGAGGTTGGTGCTGTCGACGATGTGTCGCCTCCAGTTGAAGATGTACGACCCCGCCGCTATGAGAGTGGGTGTCGTGGTCAGTGATGCGTGCAATCCCGCATCATAATGCGAATGATCGTCATCGCCACCCATGCGCATTATCCACATGCACACACTCAACAAAACCCTCAGACAATCCGCAAGCCGCGTTAACCTCTCTTGTTTCAAACGGCCGCCGTTTCCCCATTGTCCGCACCAAAGCGCATCTGTCCAGCACCCCACCACGCGAAGAATTGTCGCCCTCTGTTGCGGCGCCATGTCATCATATTCAGGTTTGTCCACAATTTTCACCCCCTCGAACCACAGAGGCATATCCATCTTCATATGCAGCATGTAGTAAACGAGGGTTGGGGAAACCACTCTCGACCATTCCAACCCCTTCCAAACAGCTCGTGCGACGTCGGTAGCATAGTCGACAGTGATGTACGACTCTGCACGAGCGAAGTCATTCGACCTCGATGACGATTTGAAGATCCACCTGTGAATGGTGCGCAGTACCAGTTTCTCCACGATGCGTACTTTGCACAAAGTCGGTTCACGCTGCGCCGGATCGTCGATCTTGAAGCGTGGCACATCGTTCGGCGGCATGATGAGCATGGACGGTGGTTCAGCTCCTGCGTCTCCGTTGGCGATGGCGACGAAGTAGTCGGCGCAGTCGCCAATTGCCTCCCTCGACGGTTTTCCGGGGCCTTGACCCCAAAAAGCGTGGCAATCAACCCACAACATTAACCTCTCCTCCTGATTAACCTCCTCTACAGTTCTCTTCCACGTGCTGGCAAGGGGTCATTCGTCGTTATCATCGTCTTCCCGTCGTCCATCTCTTTTACCATCTTTCCGGCGCACGTCATCGACTCTCCCCTCTACCACACCTTTCGCGACTCTGCTTGCAGAAGTGTGATGATCTCCCGCCGCCGTCCGACTTCCGCCTGTGTCCACTTTCTTTTGCAGGGGCGGTGTTATCACCGCGCTTGAACCCCCCGCCTGTTGCGCGGGGAGTGCCGACATGGCTGGACTGCCCCGATCACTGCCTTGTCAAGTCGACCGCCCCCAGCGACTGGGGCGATCGGTGCACAAACTTTGCTTGTCGTCGCCTCACCCACCCCCGCAGCTTGCCTCTGTACGCGTGCCTCAGCGATGACAATCCCTTGCGCCTTGTGTGTCCTATGCGATGCTTGGGTGGCACCACCAACGGCGGCTTGTCTGATAGTAGCGAGTTGATCCCTCAACACTCCGTCCCGCCCAAAACCAAATCGCTGGCTCCCCGACATCCTTGCGCGTCCACCACCGCAACTTCCTCTGATTGGAAGTTGTCATCATTCTCCAAGTTCGCCTCATCAACGCGCAACCTTTTCGACTTGGGCACGTGGCCTCGACCTTTTTGGCCTCCCCCCCGTCGCTAGGACCTCCATCTCTCCTGCCCTTTCCTGTCGCGCCCCGCGGTGCCATGTGGATACAACTTCAGTCCCCCTGCCACGTGGCCGATGAAGGCATGCTGCGGTGTGAGGCGGACATGCACAAAGGGCACGTGAACGTCGACGTTCATCGGCTGACGGAAAGGAAGGATGTGAACGGCTCGTGTGACGAGGCACTGGCCACAGAGGAGGTTATATGACGGCGACCAGAAAGGTCCACCAGAAAGTGAGAGCCGACGACGTGGAGGCGCGGAGCGTCGAACGGGATGCGGAGGCGTACGGCGAGAGGGCAGTGGACAAGAGGCACCTCTAAAGCCGTGGCAATGGAAAAATTGCGGTACAGAATGGCGCCCAGACCGTCCTTCTGTATCGTGCGCTGTCTCTCACCACACCATGGATGCGCCTCGCCGTACTTGAAGCCCGCCCCTTAGTTGACCGTGCGCAGACCATTTTTTTCGGGCCCAATGGAGGTCATCCTTCCATTGGTCCGACATTGAATGTCGACGCGCAAGAGGACCCCATCGGAGCTCGAAAGGGCCTGCCACTTACCCCTGCACTGCCACCCCCGAAAACACCCAGCGCCCATATCAACCCCCCCCCCCCCCCCCCCCCCCCCCCCCCCCCCCCCCCCCCCCAGGTCCCGCGAGGAGCAACCCCCCCCCCGCCCCCATGTGACTTCATGAATCGCCACAAATTGAACAAAATCGGAGCGACTTCGAACCGACCACGCTTCAACGATTCAGGATTGCAATAAACAATACAAGGACTGAAGACTCAGAAGAAAAACAAATGAAAAGAAAGCTACAAAAAAAAAAAAAAAACCCTAAAAAAATCAACAAAAAAACCGTTTGTGGAAATTGTGGTCCATTCACGCAACACATTCTGAGACCGTTGGCTATCTCCTCCAAAACGAAGATCGAATTCGACGCAAAACAAAAACAAACCGACAATAAGCATTTCACATCATGCAACGTGTTCATCGGTCCATGATTGCAACACTACTCGGCGAAAACAATCCACATTGATAGCCCTGAAGAAAGGTCGACATCATTGCCTCTCTTCTAACAGCACGTTGGACAATCACAACACTAATCGGCCACAACAATCGAGATTGGAAAACGCGACTTGCACCAACAACGGATGCGCCGCAGGGCACGGCAACAACACCGAAGGCCGCCCCGTGGGGCACGCGAGAAATGAATACTTGAAACATTAATCAAACAATACCTATATCAAACAATACGACGGGCAAGAACGACCCCTCCTGTGTCTACACTACCTCCACTGCGGCACACCGCATCACGCAAGACAACGGTAATGACGTTGCTCCCGAAACGCACACATGGCGATCTCGCCAATCTCGGAAACGCCTGGCCAAAAGACGTTAAGATCGCTCATGGATCACTTTCGACATCTCCAAAAGGGCGTTGCACATCATCAGGTTCGCCTGGTCGACCTTCTCTTACTGCTCCTTCTGCACCTCCACCTCTCGCTCGAGAATGTCGCATTGCCTCGTCAGAACTGAACACTGCCTCTTGCTCGTACTGTCCACCGTCGTCGCCATCAGCTTCCCGTGCTTATCTTGGTTATCCATGACATCAATGATCGCATCGAAGGTCCGTTGTTTGACATTCTTCCTTTTGCCGCCCCCACCTGCACTACCACCGCTGATCGAATCCCTCGTCGATCCTTGATCATCATCCTGTATGTCCCCACATCACTCGCTAGCCACGGATTCGTTCTGGCTGCCACCTGTTCCAGGCATCTGAACCCCTCCAGCCGCACCCTTGTCTGCGAGATTTGTCGGGTGAATAGTGTGATCAGCCTTCGGCATCGCGTTCATCTTGAAATACACACGCTCATCCGCCTGAAAGTCGAACCCTTTCTCCTTCCCCTCCACCGGCGTTAGTGTGAAGAAATTTTGCTTCCCGGATTGTCCCATGAATCTATGCACGGATTTGAATTGTTGGTTCATCTCGAAATACACACGCTCATCCGTCTGAAAGTCCTCTTTTTTCTCGCATTCCTCGACCTTCGTAGTAGTCAGCCCCGTCTTCATGAGCCTCTTCTCAACGTCATTCCACTTCCGTGTCCTCAACTTCATCCATCCATAGTTGTGCCCCAGCCCGACGAGATGCAAATCCTGGTCTCTTTTTGCCCGAACCAGAGCGATCATATGATCGACGGTCCAAAAATCCCTGCTTTTCCCTCAGTCGCCTGTGGACGTGTCATCCACACGCTTCTTGCCTTTCCGCCCCGCACGCGGTTCCGTCGACTTGTTCGTGCCCCGAGTACCTCCCCACTTTCTCCCAAGCGAACGAATCTCCATCTCGCCGTCATCGTCCTCCCCGTTGTCATTGTCGTCGTCGTCTGCTGTGCAATCATCGCCCCCCACGCCATCGCAGTTCAGGAGCATATCATGGCCCCCGACATTCATCTTCGCCACCCTCTCATTATGCTAGACGGGATGGACTGACGAGATTGTCGCCGATGATTGTTCAAAACCTGTCGACCCATAACCTCTGTTGCTGACCAATCATCGTCGTCATGATGCCCCGGCCGTTGATGCATCAGTAGGTGTCGTCGATCGGCGGCCGCCAATCCCATTGTCCTCGTCCTCGAAGCGGCCACATCAGCATTCCTCCTCGATCCGGGCTTTAGCGAAACAAGTCCGCGCTCGTTGCCCAACTCACAATAACACCCACCTCGCTCGCCCGAAAGCCCCCCTGTCGTCGCCGAAGGCCGTGTGCGGTTGCTGCCCTAAGCTGGGTTGACGATAACGGTGTGCGTCACATCCTAACCACTACCAGACCTCAGACCGAAGCTCAGATCGACAAGTGCTGCGTCATAGCCGGCCAGGGTCCACCCTTCCGGAAGATCAGTGTACGTCGGTGTCGGTGGTTGTTTGAACAGCTGGCTCCCCATCCAATCCTGCGTCCAGTCGCTGCCCAGGGGAACCGTTGAGGATCGAGGGTCATCGGCGTCGCCATCACTCGGAGGCAACGGAATCTCGTGGGACGGGAGGTGGATGTACAGAGTTGGGTCATACGTCCGCCTGCCACCTTCCACACCGGTGCGAAGCAGACGTGAAGACCCCCCTGCCACTGCTGACGGCGTGGTCTTCTTCTGAAGGTTGTCCATCTTCCTCGCCTTCGTCGACGATCGTGGCGTCGCTTTCCGTCCACGAACGAAGACGACAACGACAAGCAGCAACAAAGGCAGCCTGCGGTACAGGTCAGCCATGGACGACAAGGCAGCGGATACGGTACACGCACTTCTGCTGTGGCATTGGAGGCGAGTGGCGACAACGCTGACACAGTACTGGAGGAAGAAGCCAACGACGCAGAATTCTGCAATGGGGGACCGGGGGCGGACGGCTACAAAATTCATACATTCGACCGTTGGGGAGCCCCCCCGAACGCCAAAACCCCTCCAGCACCCGACCGAAGACGCCCGATGCTCGTCATGGCCCCACCGACGGACCGCCCGAAGAACCAACAGGGCCGTCCCACGAATCCTCGGTAACAGTAAACAGAGGCCGCCGTTGCAGGACGTTATTGATGACGACGGCCCACAATGTCCGTCTTCCGCTCCGTGGACCAGAAATGGACCACCTTCGCCCTTCAATTTTCCTTCTGGAGTCGACGCCGTCAGCCCGTGAATTGTGGATCCTCGGGCTTCAACGGACCTCACGCGTCCTTTGGAACCGAGGACGATTTGTCTGGGAAATCCTCGGAGCCCGAGGGTTTGTCCTCTGAGTGTTTTCACTTTTGTTTTCCGAAAATCGACTCCGAGGACAGATCAAACGACGATGAAATCCTTGGAGCGGCATCCCCAAGGAGTGTCTAACGACGCCCTTACTAAGGGCCTCACCACCGTCAAAACGCAAAAAAAAACGAGTGCATCTCCACACAAAGAGTGGCAAAATGCATCCATTACTAAAAATAGCGAAGGATGCATCTTACCTCTTTCTGAGGAAGATGCATGCGGTCTTTTCTCACTTCAACTGTCGTGTGGCGAAGCCCTTGGCGAAAAGGCCGAGGAAGGTGGTCCGTGCATTTCTGCTGTTGTCGGAAAGAGCGTCCGGAGTTTCTGCAGGGGCCGTGCATTTGGCGTCGGAAGCCGGGTCCGAAAATCCACTCATCCTTTAACACTCTTAAAGAGTGTAAAGGGTCTCGCGTGACGCTCCCACGGAGACCTGCTTCCCAGTGTTGGGAAAGGCGACGGGGCAAGGGGCGGGCCCACGGGACACTTGTGTCCTTTTTTTATCTTTTTTTGTCGTTTTGTGGGCTCGCTCTCGTCTTTTCTTTTTGGACTCAGGGCCTCGCTGCTCTACTCACAAGACTGAATTTACCGCTGGAGTACGGAGAAATACGTTGCTTATCGTTTTTTGTCGTTTTGTGGGCCCACTCGCGTCGTTTCGTTTTGGATTTAGGGCCTCGCTGCACTGCTCACGAAACCGAATCTACCTCTAGAGTACGGATTTTGTCGTTTTGTGGGCCAGCTCGCATCGTTTCTTTTTGGACCTAGGGCCTCGCTGCACTACTCACAAGACTGAATCTACCGATAGAGTGCGGAGAAATACATTGCCATCTTTTGTCTTTTGCGCACGTAGATGCACGGCCCGCGCGTTTGTTTTTCTGCGTCATGAAAGGGCGGTGGGGACGAACGGGATGAGTCAGAGGGGGTGCGGGGAGGTGGGGACCAGGGCAGTGGACGGGGGGGAGGGGCAACACGAGGAGCAAAAGAGGGACCAGCGGAGGCAGGAACCGGATGTGTGTGTGTGTGTGTG